TGTGAGCCCAAGTCTCTCCATGTTCCCTTCTAAGGAGCATTCTGGCTGTCCTTCCCCCGGGACGGACTTGTTGGTTCTGGTAGTCCACGGTGTATTTAGTATTCTCCACCAGCATCACAATTCAATTCACAGGTTCACCCACTCTCTCACTTCTTCTCTCCTTCAGGTCCCCAGACCTCTGGGCATTGCTGAGCACAGTGAGAACCTCTCAGGCCCTAAGATGGGTGAAGTCATAGGTAGCCCAGGCCACCACAGCTGGTGGACTCCACAGTCTGCCTCAGGCCCAGGGGCGGGGCAGAGCTGACACTGGTGGGGGCCACTCTGAGCCCCAGTAGGGGAGACACCAGTCACAGCCCAAGCCTGGCCCCAGGTCCAGGCAGAATTCCCATTACCCTCAGTACCCCCAGCACCGCTAGAACTGAGCCCTGCCCTGCCCCCCTGATTGCCCTGAACCCTCCTGCTGCTGCTTGGGGTGAACCTGCCCAACGGTCATCACAACAACTGACCAGTGAACTCAGGGGTCACCCTCCGTGGAGGTGGGGGAGGACCTGGTTGGAGATCTGAGGGTCCCAGGACATGGCGCTTGGGGAACTAGGACCACTCCACTAGGACGGGGGATTAAGAGTGAGACCAGGCCTGCACCATTCCTCCCAAGGGTCAGAACACAGTGGGTCAGTGGGTGGGAGGGAAAGACCAGTGTTTATTACACATCTTCTCCATGCCACACACCTGCTCTAAGCCTGAGCCCACAGTGTCCCCTTGTTCTGCTCAAACAACGGCTGCTCGATGTGTGTACAGATTCCTCATGAACATAATTAAGTGTTCTGGCATTCCCATTTTTTACAGTGTTATCCATAATTTATTATGATCAACACAGTCGAATGCCTCTGTGTGGTTGATAAAACACAGGTAAATATTTTTCTGGTATTCTCTGTTGGTGGTAAGTCACAACAATAGCTCCCGGCCAGGCCCTTTGTAGGTGCTTTAAATCTTTGGAACAGTGTGGCCAGGGAGCTGGCGATGGAGGAAGAAGCCTGGGCTCCAACAGGGCAGCAGCTGGTGCTGACCCAGCACCGTCTCACCCCAAAGCCCCCGCTCACATATGCCCTCACAGCCCAGTGGGCCCTGATGGAAAGGCTGTTTCCAGAAGTAGTGAGCTCACTGCCACTGGTCCCAGGGGCGTGGGAGCAGCCGGTGTGCCCCTCAGAGGGGATGTCATCTGGCTCTGGGTGGGACTCAGCGAGGTCTAAGGCCCTGACGGTCTAGCCCTGAGATTCCTCAAGATGAGCACATTGCCCAGATCTCAACACTGCCATGGTCCCTCTAATCACCTGCACACCTTCTGCTCTCTCTCCAGGTGTTGTGCGCCAAGTACGGCCCATCGTGGGCCCGTTTCATGCCATCCTGAAGCTGGAGATGAACTATGTGGTTGGGGGTGTGGTCTCCCACCGAAATATCGTCAACGTCCACGTCTTCGTCTCTGAATACTGGTTCTGAGAGTTGGTCCACGTGCAGCCAAGTCTGCCCCTCCTGGCCAACTCATTGCTACAAATGATGATGCCTGGACCTCTGCACCACCTGGACATTTCTAACTCCATGTATTTGTAGTGTTAGGTCAACATATATTAGCTAGGCCGGATAAGCATGTCCATCCTACATACTCTGGTGTTTAAATCACTAGTCCAATGACTCAAGTATTTGTTTAAATCTTTGCTTATATTTTTTTCATTCAAAGGCTGAATATTGCCCCCTTTCCCTGCCTGTGGGCTGGGCATTGCTAAGGACCAACGTCCAAATGCCGTGGAAAGACCAGTTCTGGCCCTAATTATATGCAACTTGACCTTTTCATTCTCTTATGCCAATCAGACGTGGCACGTCCAATCCTAAGGACATGGCTGCAGTAAGTCACCAGATACATAAATTCTTTCCCAAAGCAAATCTTGGCAGTAAACTGCAGCTCTGTGTTTAAAAGAGAAAAAGCAAAAACCAAGATAGACTCTTGGTAAAGGCCAGTCCCATTGGGCTCTTGGTTGTGTGGCCTGGGTGTGCTCATGGATGGAAGGGTGGCATCTGTCTGCCCCAAGCCTTTCCCCTCTGCTTATTACAGATGGGAAATAAAAAGCGTTGTGATCCTCCCGAGGGCTGTGCCTGTGAGTCTTTCCAGAAGGGAGGTCTTCTCTTGCCCAAGTATCTCTGCTCACAACAGGTCTGGGGCTCTCCCCACCCCTATGTTCCTCAGATCCCCTCCTGCACCCAGGTTCTGGGGCAAGGTCCCAGCACAGGTGTTTGGAAAAGCTTCCTGCGTCCTGTCCCATTCCATCCCCCGCAGCCGGGAAGTGTGGTCAAGCCAACCCCATCCTGCACCCCGCCTCACCAGGCGTGTCTAGGGGCTCCCTTGGCTGTGTGGCTCCTTCTGAGAGTGTCCTGCATCGACTCCTGATCACCTCGAAAGTCGCTGGTGAAAGGACAGGACAGTGAGTCCCCACTCCACGGGGTGCCCAGCTCTTGTCAAGGGGCGTTTCCGCTATTCCGTTAAGTACCATGGAGTTGGCTCTGCGTCTGCAACCCTGTGAACAACAGAACGAAACCCTGCCGGGTCCTGCACTAGCCTCACAGTCATTGCCATGTCTGAGCCCATTGTCGCAGTCGCTGTGTCAGTCCATCTCATCGAGGGCCTTCCTCTTTTCACTGACCCTCTACCGAGCATGATGTCCTTCTCCAGGGACTAATCCCCTCTGATCACATGTCCAAAGGACACAAGATGCTCTCATACTCCTTGCTTCTAAGAAGCGTTCTGGCAGGACTTCTTCCAAGACAGATTTTTCTATTCCTCTGGCCACCCATGTGCCCACTTTAGAAATGAGCAAAGAGAGCTCAGAGAGGAACTGCGCCCACCACTTTTTAGAGATGAAGAAGGGATTCAAATCCAGGTCACTGCCTCCAAACCCCATGCCTCTAAGCCGTTGTGTCAGAGCAGACACGGACACACTGGAGGCACGCCCACACCACCTGTGCGTCGGTAGTGAGGCCAGGAGCACCCACCAGCCCAGCACCCACTTGGATCCACAGAGATTCCACACCCAGGCCCCCGGTCTCCACACACCTCCCTGACCCCTTCCTGGACTCTGCATTTACGCCATCTTCTCAGGCATGGTCCGTTGGTGGCAAAGAGCTTCTCTCTTGTGGCTGCACCCCAGCAGCCTGGGCCCTCGTGTTGGCTCTGGTCTCACCTCTCCCACCAGGGGACCTCACCGTCACGGGGCTTTCAGTGAAGCTGGTGCTCGGGTAGGAGTCCCAGGTGGTACAAACGGTTACGCATCCAGCTGCTAACCCCAAGGTGGGTGGTTGGAATCCACCCAGAGCTCCCTCGGAAGAAAGGCCTGGTCATGCAGCCACCAAAGACCCTACGGGGCGCGGCTCTCCGTGCGCACAGGCCACCTGAGCTGGATGTGACTCGCCGGCCACCAGTTTGGTTCAGCTTGGTGTTCTGGGGACTCAGGCCCGCACCGTCCAGACTCCGCTGCATGCAGTCTCCAGCCACCTCTGGGAACTGCCAACACTTCCACGCTCGCCAGTTAGGGGCCCTGGTCTGGCAAGGAGGCCTGGGCAGAGGGGGAGAACTGGAAAGGCACAGACAGTTCAGGGAGCCCCGTGCAAGGCTGCGGGGGTGCCGGGGAAGGAGTCCACTGCTCTCAATGCCTGGGCACGGCATGAACCGCTCCTCCTCAACACACTCATCTGTGACTGACTTTGTGAAAAGCTCTTAGTGTGGATTTTCAAAAACATTCACTGAATTATGGAGAAGCGTGTGTGAACCCCCGGTGCAGCAGTTACCAACCTTCAGCCCTCTGCTTTCAGCTGTCCCCTCCTCCCCACCTTTTTCTTTTTGCAGGAGTTTGTTTTTTTCCTAATCAATTCTATTTTGGAGGAAGGGGCCAGTTTTAGATTCACAGAACTGCAAAGATGCTAAGATAGTTCTGTTCCCATAGTCCTCAAACCCAGTTGTCTCTGTTAGTAGGTCTTAATTACCATGGTCCGTTTGCTACAAATAATCAACCAATATTATATTATTAACTAAAGTCCACGCTTTACTCAGTTCCCTTAGCTTTTACCTCGTGGCCTTTCCTGTCCCGGATCCCACCCAGGACACCACACGGCACTTGGTCATCACGTCCCCTTCAGCTCCTCTGGGCTGGGACACTTTCTCAGACTTTCCCTGTATGTGATGTCCTTGATAGTTTTGAGGCGTGCCTGTCAAGCATTTTGTAGAATGTCCCCTAGTTGGGATTCCACTGGAGTTTTTCTCATGAGTAGCCTGGGGTCACGGGTTGGGAGGAAGAAGACCCCAGAGGTAAGGTACCATTTTCACCACGTCCTGGCAAGGGTCCGTGCTATCCATGTGACATCACTGTTGACGTTGATCTTAGCCGTCTGGTTTCTCCACTGGAAAGCTACTGTTCTCCCCTTTTTCCATTCTGAGTTTCTTGGAAGGAGGTCTTATGCTCAGTCCCCTTGGGGGGTGGGTTACACTCCACATCCCTGAGGGCAAAGGGCAGGAGTATTTTAAAGTAAATCCCCTACGAGGCGCCACTTCGTATTTCAAAAATTCGAATGCTTTTCAAATACATTTCTAATCATTAAAAAAAAAAAAAAAACTCACTGCCATTGAGTTGATTTTGACTCATAGCAACCCCCATTGGGTTTCCAAGGCTGTAAATATTTATGGAAATAGATTGCCCCATCTTCCTTCTGCAGAGTGGCTGGTGGGTTTGAACCACTGAACTTCTGGTTAGCAGCCTACTGCCTTATCCACTAAGCCACCGAAGCTCTTTAATCATAAATGCTTTTAAAAACATGACCATGCTATCTCTCATGGCCAGCCATATTAATTAGCATTCCTTACTGTCCTAAATGGAAGGAAGATGGGGCAATCTACTTCCGTAGTGATACTGCCTCGGAAACCCAAGGAGGGGTCGCTATGAGTCGGGTCCGACTTGACGGCACCTAACAACAACAACAACTGTTCTAAAACCTGTGAAAGCCAGAACGCATGTGAGGTGGAAACCTGTCAGAGAAGGAAAGTGCAGCTATTTCCCACTAATCAAGACAGAAACACTGCACCCTGTCAAAAGCGGGAAATGCACAGGCCTGGAAAAATAGTGCAGGCCCATTGAGTTCCGGCTCACACAGATTTCACTGTAATTTCCAATAAGTGGCTTCTACCTCATCCAGGACCACAAGCCTTAGTGGAATGGGCGTGAGGACGCTGGAGGAGACAGGCGAGTCGCAACCCCAGTCCTCAGGGTGGGGAGGAGGCAGCGGGGGAGGGGCAAAGGAGGAGGCAGGGACCCCCCTCACAGGGGGGAATTGTTCGTGTCCCAGGGAATTCACCTCGGGATTCTCTTACGACATGAACCACGGCGTCTGTGTTCATGGCTAACACAGAACGCGCCCAGCGTCAGCCCCATGTGCCTCCTGGGTCCAGCTTCCCATGGATTCCCACCCCCAGGGCTGCAGACTGCCCAAGGCATGTTTCAAATGTGCACCCCGAGTTGTCCCAGGCCGTCCCGACCTGCGGTTACACCGTGGTCACTTGGGTCCAAGCAGGGCTCTGGACCACTCATGGGCCAGATGATCAGAGTCAAGAGCTAGATGCTGGCAGCATGGGCGAGGGAGTGAGTCAGGGCCCCCTGGGCAGCAGGTCCCAAGCGTGGTCCCTCCCATGGGAGGGAGACCCAGGAGAGGCTGTGTGGACAGGCCTCAGCTCCTGGCCTTGGGGGAAGATGGTGCCACCCTACATGGGCTCCTTTGCTTCTGTGTGGAGACTGAAATGAGGCTTAAAGCTCGAAGGTTCTGTCCTTCCATTCATCCATCCATCGTCTGTGGATCGTTGTTATCTGTCTGTCCATCTATTATCATAGATCTGTCTATCTACCTGTTAGCTGTCTCTCTATCCTCTATCAACCCACAGTATATCTATCTATAATCCATCTGTTTATCATTGAGCTATTATCAATCATCTGTTTACGGAGCTCTAGTGGCGCCGTGGTTAAGGCGTTTGGCTGCTAACCAAGAGGTCAGTGGTGTGAACCCACCAGCTGCTCTGTAGAAGATGGGACGGTCTACTTCCATAAAGATTTACAGTCTTGGAAACCCAATGGGGATTTCTGGGTCAGAATAGACTCAATGGCAGTGAGTTTGGTTTTGGTTTGATGTATCTATTAAGTATCAGTCTATATTTATCTAATTCTTAGTAACATATCTCTTGGTTTCTACCTTTCTTGGGATAGGTAGCTGATGAGTACTGCTCTTTCATCTCTCCCCCCCCCAAAAAAAAAAAAAGCATACTTGATTCTGGACCGTGTGACTTCCATGTCCCTTGGCCTTGGTCTCTGAGAGAGTAGCTCCATCCCTGGGAATTGCAGCAAGAGGGCTGGTACAGAGCAGGAGAGGCTGCCTACATTGAGATGACCAGTTCGGTAAAGTCAAACATCATA